ATATGTTTTATTTTTGAAATTACAAGGGAATGATGCAAGTGAATGTGGGAATGTATTCGGTCTGTGGTTCACTTTTAGAGTTTTTGTATATTCGTTTTAGTACAGCTTTTACATAGTATGTATAAGCTCTATTAACTGCTCTTTTTCACATGTGAGGACCGCACTTTCTATTTTGTTGTGTGTATACAATGACAATTTTAAAAAAAGATATATTGATACTGATTTGGGCTGCAAGGTGGATCAGTGGTTAGCACCGTCGCCTCACAGCAAGAAGGTCGCCAGTTCGCGTCCCGGTGAGGACACCAGGGATCTTTCTGTGTGGAGTTTGCATGTTCTCCCTGTGCAGCGTGGGTTCTGTCCGAGTTCTCTGGCTTCCTCCCACAGTCAAAAAATATGTTGAGGTTGATTGACGATTCTAAATTGTCTGTAGGTGTGAATGTGAGTGCGCTTGGTTGTCTGTCTCTGAGTATGATAGACTGGTGACCTGTCCAGGGTGTCCCCTGACTTCGCCATAAGTCAGCTGGGATAGACTCCAGCCCCCCCGCGACCCTAGTGAGGATTAAGCGGCGTATAGATAATGGATGGATGGATGGATGATACTGATTTGTGCATGTTCCATTTTATAATGTTGAATTTCAGATCCAACCAGGGATGTTACAAGAATTGATACTTCAGTGCCAAGTCAATGCCAAAATTCTGAAAAAATGACATTATTTATTTTCTATAATACCAGACGTACCAAAAGCACAGTAGATAATGTGACTACTGGACAACAGCCATGTGTAACCAGTGACACCTGGTGGTTCTCTGCTGTCTGTGTCTGATCGGGAGACAAAGTGATAAAGTAAGTTAGGTGAGAGGCCTGGGAAGACATTAAGCCTGTGTCTGTATTAGGTGATTTGTGGTAAAACATTTGTTGGATATTTTAAGAGAAAACGATTCCACAAAATTTAATGCGGATGTACTTTTTTAACAGTCTCATGTATTTGGATGTAGCAGTTTGGCCACACAGCTTTATTAGGGGCAGGTTGGAGCAGGTATAGGACAGTGCAGTTCAGGTTCATTGTAGTTTAAATGATACTCTTAAAAAATGTATTCTACACTGGGAAAGTTTAATTTATTAATGTAGCTTCTTCCCCAAGCACAGGAGTTTAAGTATCTCGGGATCTTGTTCACAACTGATGGAAAAATGGAGCACGAGGTGGACAGGCGGCTTGGTACGGCGTCAGCAGTAATGCAGTTGCTGTCTCAGACCATCATGGTGAAGAGGGAGCTGTGCTGCAAGATGAAGCTCTCGATTTACCAGTCCATCTATGTCCCAACTCTCACCTATGGTCACGAGCTCTGGTGATTCTTATCTGCAATGTAGTTTTCTGTGTGTGATATGTGCTTAGAGGGGTGCAATTGTACCTCCACAGATGCCACAAAGACATTGATGACTATCTGAGTGATGTGAGGTGGAAGTTCTTGTGCCACATATTGCTCAGAGAAAAATAGAATATTGTGAGAATAAACCAAGAGTAGTAAATATAAAGTGTATCAGTGTTTTAGTGTAAAGGCAGTGCCTGGTAGAATAGCAATAAGTACAATACATTTAGTTAAGATTAGTAACATAAAGTAAAACTAGTAGTGACGCGAAAGCAATAAAGTAATATTTTACAGAATAATGAAACACACTGCACAAGATACTGGAACTGACACTGCACATAATGTGAAAAAATGAAACTGCAAAAGATGTTGGTATTGTTATTCGGTGCTCAGTTTCCAATGTTTGAGTTAAAATATGAGATCTGACGGTTGTTGCTGTAACCTGGATTGACTTTATAGTGGTGGGATTTCCTAAACAATTTGCATAGAAATGTGTCAGAGATGCTTTGAATTCTATATTTCACATGGGACTGGATAGATGTCCTGCCATTGTTCTGCACATTTAGTGTTTTCCGTTATTCTCTGGTACTGTCTTCGTCCTCCACAGTAATCAGATAAGAGTAGCTGACAGTTGGCTGATGGTTGTGGTTTCCCTTATTCATTCTTTTTACAAGTTTGACTGATTTCAAACAAAGCAGAAGAAGAATTTTACCTCCATTTTCCAAATTCTGAATTGGGTTTATATACTTTGAGGCTTCCAGAGGGAAGACAAATTTATATGTAAAATCCTTTCCGAAACAAAAATGCAGCGAAGCAAGTTTCTATGTAAAGGGTATTCCATAAACCTTCTGTCTGCAGTTTGGGTAGGCTGTTTTCATGACAACACTTCTGTTGTATGCCAGATAGCAGACATGTCCATTTCCAAAATGGAGACAGATTATGCTTAAAATTTAGTAAAGTTGAGTAAAATTGATTGAATTAAGTAAACACAAAATACAGTACAGACAAGATGAATAAAGTGCACACAAATTTAGTGGAAGATCTAAACCGATTGAATAAAACAGCAGAAAATGTCATAGAGAAGAAAAAAAAAATTAAAAGTGTACAATTAAATCTATATTTCAAAAACATGTTAAAACTGTAATGTTCAAAGACTTAAAAATTAACATAACTGCAAATATTTATGTTATATATTTTCTTAAATAAATACAGTGAAAATAGTGACATTTTACAGTCAAGTGTTGAAGAAAGAGAGAAAGAAAGACTTTTTTAACCCCTTTTTTCTCTGATGTTGTTAGTTATCATCGGTAATAATAGTAAAAAAAAAACACACACACAGGGAAAATATCACTAAATTGCTCAAGAAATTACACTTAAAAGCTGTTATAAAGGTTCATTTTTTACAGTTTTTACTTTTAAGATGTACGTTTATTTTATTAATACGCAAAATCGTCACACGTTTGAAACTTTTGTTGTGAAAATCAAAACGACCCGGAAGTGCTTCTGGTGTACTCCCGGTTTGAACTAGTCACTCTGGGGCAGGTTTGTTATGAGCTAGCAAATTATCATTCCCGCTATCTTCCTCCGTATTTCAACTAAACTAGCAGTTTCTACCGTTTTAATTTGGCCTCCAGCAGCTCGACTATGCTCACGGTTTCGTTTCTCCTCTACTGCGTTTTTCTTAAAACCGCCACCTGTCATAGCAGCTAGCTAGTTAGCCTGTAGCTGCTAACCGGAGTGAAGCAGGTGGAGCGCAGCTTTAATGTTTGCTGCTGACCGTCATTCATGGCAACTCGACAGCCCTTCACAGACACCGACACTGCTGATGAAGCGGTGAGGGCGACGTGTGACGACGCCACCACCTGCAAAAGGTAACAGCACGACATGAAGCCAAAGTTAATCATTTAATGTTGCAGTCATGTGGCTTTAATTGCACGCAGCAGCACCGTTTCTCCTGATGCTGCATTAAAACTACTACTTTACCATTGGAGCTAAAGGTCGCTGGCCAACACTGAAGACTAGATCATGGGGAAATTGGGTCATGGGTCATTAATTATGCCACCATGAAATACTCACATTTGCTTTTTGCTGATTGTTGTTTTGATACCTAGTTACATCCACTGAAACAACGTTACTTACATTTTGGGGGTTTGTATATAAAGTGCTATATAACCAGTCGGTGTACTGAGAGACTCAGAGCAACATCTCACCCCAGCAGCCTGTGGTTTATTATTAGGCTGTCCGTGAGACATGTATGGATCTGGCCATACAGTATCCACCAGCAAAACCAAAAATGGAGTTGGAGAGCTGCATGGATCTACAGCTTTGGAAATTAACATTAGACCCCCTGTTGTTTTCTTTACAAAACATACACAACAGGCCTTCAATGTGGACAGCTTTGCTAGTGTTTTATCAGAGTGGCTAAATATATACAGCATCTTCGAAAAGCAATAAAAATGCAGTACAATAATTGAATGCATGTGCTAAATTATGGTTAAAATTATGATATATTGAAACTGTAGCAATGTCAACAGTTATACGAGAGGGTTAAAAGCATTTTCTTGAGTTGACATTATCATGTGCATAAGATGTGTACGAAATGTCAGAAAAGATTTCAAATCCAAACTACAAACTACAAGTTTTCTCCTTCCAAGTAATCCCCCTGGAGTCTAACACACTTCCCCAGCCTTCTCTGCCTTCACGCCGCCATGCACTCCTGGAAGGATTCTTCCAGGATCCTCTGCAGCTCCGTCGTCACAGCCATCTTGATGTCCTCCACATCTTCTAATCGGGTCCCCTTGATGACCCCCTTGAGCTTGGGGAAGATGAAAAAAAATCCCACGGAGCCAGGGGGTGTGAGTAGGGAGGTTGCTCCAGCACGGTGATGTTCTTCTCAGCCAGGAACTGTGGGATGCTCAGGGCATTGTGAGCAGGCACGTTGTCATGGTGAAGCAGGTACAACTTGTCCTGCCACAACTCTCGCCTCTTCTTGTGCACCGAAGGAAGCAAATGCCGCAGGATCTCTTTGTAGACGTGCTGGTTGATCATCTGAAGGGGAAAACTTGTAGTTTGTAGTTTGGGTTTGAAATACATCTTTTGTGACACCAGTCCTGGAACCTTTCTGACACACCTAATCTAGAGTCAGCAGACAATCCAAACTAAATTGTCGTGCAACAACGCTTAAAGGATAAGAGCCATTTTTGGTGCTTAACAAAGAGGGATACAGAGTGAGAGCCTTTGTTAACCAGTTTGCAATCAGCAGAGCATCATCTAAGACAACCTTAAGACGAAAACATAGCACAGCTTCAAAACTGTGGTCTAATAACTATTTCCCAATGCTGTATATTGCAGATCTTATTTGTACCTACGATCAGGTACACCAGCAACAATTTCATGTTTCAAGAGTCAACATATTGATTAGTAGAAAATTATTAATGTGTAATGCTTCCACATCCAATTTCCAACCTGTTTTTTTAGATTTGCAACCAGTAAAGCCTACTGGAAGGACCCATATATCCAGTACTTTGCGAGGTCTGTCGGAGAGCGGAAGGCTCCTGAAATCAACAGAGGCAAGTAACGCAGTCGTCTTTTTAAAGCATTTTTCCATTTGTGCTTCATTCGACAATACCTGTTGAGTTCAGTGAGATGAACCATATATTGTATAGTTATAAGTCAGAGGATCACCAGTAAATAATGTGATCATAGTCTGCAGCAAGCGCTTCACGAGCAGACGTCATTGTGTAATTATGACTCACTAGGTTATACTATAACCAGCTAGTAACGCCACACTTTATGGTGTGATTGTCAACAGTAAAGTCTTTACTTTTTGCTCCCTAGATATGTTTTATTAGCTTGTTTAATTTTCCACTTGTCTGATTTTACAGGTTATTACGCCCGTGTTCAAGGTGTAAACCATCTCCTTGATGCGTTTATAAGGAAAGCAGAGTGCGACTGTCAAGTAATAAACCTGGGTGCCGGACTGGACACCACATTTTGGAGATTAAAGGTTTGCAGAGTTGCCTCATCAAAACTGTTTTAATCCATCCTCAGAAAACTTCACAAGGCACAGATCTTGAGAGTGTTTGTGTGCGTTACAGGATGAAAATCTCATGCCGCGGAAGTTCTTTGAAGTTGACTTTCCAACTGTCGTGGCCAGAAAAATACACAATATAAAGTAAGGCAACTGTCTTGTTTTTTTGTTAATTGCATTTCATTTTTAGTCCTGTTCCATGCAACACTGATGAACCTGAGGGAAATATCTGATAGATTTTGGTGTATCGACCTGCATTAATTTGCATCTTAACAAGGAAAATCTAATTTGTATGTTCAGATTACTAATTTTAGATCTTAATTTACAGTTGCTAAAATACAACTATAAGTACCTGCAAGAATACTGAGCAGCCAAAGTGTGTCATACTTCTGTTACCTTCTAACTTTGCTATTGTAATGTGGGACAGAGATCTGTAGGGGGAGCCAGAGCCTGTTTTATAAACATTGCAACATTTGAGCAGAAGAACTTAAACTTGTGTGGAAGCACGTGTGAGATATCATATATAAATGTCTATTACATGTAATTAATAACCAGTGTATAAATTAACCTCAAGTATCTGGAGAAGAATAATTCACTAAAAATGTCTTCCTGTCCTGCAGTAGGTGCAATATTATAACTGCTATTACCATTTAACTAAAGCTAATAGTAGAATAGAAATTAGGTGCACTAATGCTACAGTCATGTGAAAGACATGACTGTAGCATAGCTTTATATGTTGTTTTCATGTCTTTGTAATTGTGTTATTTTCTTTGTCAAGGACGAAGCCCCCACTGTCCAAACCCATCATCGAAACCCACTCAACAGACTCCTTACTGCTAGGTACACAACACAAGTTGTTATTCCTTGATATGTATAATATGTCAGTGGGCTTAAACACCACATGTTCTTAATTAAATGTCTGAAATTCTTTCTGTTTGTGTTTCTTTAGATGCCCACAGCCTTGACTCAGATCGTTACTGCATCATCGGAGCAGACCTCAGAGACGTCTCGAATTTGGATGAAAAGCTGAAGAAGTTCCAACTTAACCCAGAGTATGTCATCTAAATTGTTGACTTTCATCTCAGTAATTTATTCTATTAAGATCCATCCATGCAAAGCTATTGAGTTTGTAAAAGAAAGTGTAAGTTCACCTGAGGTCAATATAGTTTTTGTGAAGAAGGCCCTGTTTTCGTGGCCCATCTTTAGAAAATAGAGGAAGTGTAAGTTCACCTAAGGTCAATAATGTTTTTGTGAAGAAGCCCCCGTTTTCGTGGCCCATCTTTAGATAATGAAGGAAGTGTAAGTTCACCTGAGATCAATGTTGTTTTTATGAAATGAGTCCCCATGTTTTTCTGGCGTGTCCTTAGAAAACCAAGTATTAAAGCTTATCTCTGCGTTTTGTCACTGTGAGTAGCTCCAGATAACAGAGTCACTGTACAGACTGCCTGTAGGGCTGCAGTGCAGATGTAACGTCTCCCATCTGGAGGATTTGAAAGGATGTTGACTTTTGAAAGTCAAGCAGTCATAGTTTGCTAAAATATTGCTAAATATACTAATTCAAGGAAGATGATAGCATGGCATGTAGCAGTGTGTTTGACCAATTTCCTTTGGAAGTTTTGATAGTTTTATCGTGTCACTTTAGTTGAGTTTTATTGTAGATGTCATAAATGCAGTTCTTTGTGAAAGAGCAAAGTTTTTACAGCCATCATTTAATCTTTTAGGTGGTGAGTGTTTCATACGTAAAGTATTTTTTCTGGACCATGATGATCAGGACAGGTCAATATTTGCCGGACTTACAAAATCCCTCTCTGGTTGTAGGTTAAACCTGTAAAAGCTAATCTCTGTGCATTAAAATGACATATTTAACTTTTTTCTGCACAAAAATAATCTCTCCCTACCTTAAAAAGGCTTAAATGTAACTCTACGTCATTGCCTTCTTTAAAAACTCTATAGTCATGAACAAAAGTTTACATTCTCCTCTATACACCATGTGTGTCATCGCAGTCTTGCAGTGACTCCTACAACTCTTAGTTTTCTGTGATGGAATGATTGAAGCATGTGCATCTGTGTCACACCAAAAACAACATGCATTTTGGTTCTTTTATTGAATTATTATAGATTTTCTGGAAATATGACAAAATCTGCTGGGTCAAAAATGTACATACAGCAACTTGAATTACCCATGTTGGTGATGTAAAAAAATGTGTTACTCAAATTTTCTTAGTGACACGGCCTCCTAACTTCTTGTGTGTTATCACAATTGACTGCGGGTGCTGACTTCTCAATAGTTGTTATTGTTAATAATAATAATAATAATCAATTGAAATCGTGCCCGTTTGATACGCTCATTAGACTCAGCCACAAACACTACAGTGGGAAAGTCTAAGGAGCTGAGTACGGATCTGAAGAAGGAAATCACTGACTTGAACAAGTCAGGAAAGTCACTTAGAGTCCTGTCAAAGATATATAAAATCCTATTATGTTTGAAAGAGGGAAGGTAAGGCCTTTAACCCCAAGAACTCCAGACCTATTGTCAAGCATGGTGGTGGTAGTATTCTGCTCTTTGGCTGTTTTGGTGCGAGTGGAACTGGTGCTTTACACAAAGTAAATGGAACAGTGAAAAGGGAGGATTGCCTGCACAGTCTTTAGGAAAACCCAAAATCGGTTGGGTCTGGGATGTGTTTGGGTGTTCCAACAAGACAGTGACCCCAAACACACATCAAAACTGCTAAAGAAATGGTTAAATCAGGCTAGAATTAAGGTTTTAGACTGTTCTCCCCAAAGTCGTTATTGAAACCCCATCAAGAACCCAATCAAGAGGAGTGGTCAAAGATACAACGAGCAGCTTTTGGATGGCTACCAAAAGTGCCTAATTAAAGTGAAAGTGGCTGAAGGACCTTTAAACAGTTTATTAGAATTGCTGTATGTATATTATTGACACAGAAGATTTTTTTTCCCACAAGGCCTGTAATGAATCAATGAAAAAAAAAAAATCAAAATAGATGATTTGGTTTTGTGACATAGAAGCGTATGTTTCAATCATTCCATCATAGAAGAATAAGACTTGTAGGAATCACTGGAAGCTCAAGACTGCCGCGATGTATACGACTGTATGAAGTCTCTGCCTCTCTATTCACCCTTCCCCCTCGGTGCAGTTCGAGCACTCCAGCTCAGCTGTGACTCTGCTCAAACACTGTGAAACTACTCCATGCTACACAATGGCAAGTTGTAATATTGCAGCAATTCAGCAAAAAAAAAAAAAAATGTTTAAACCAGAAAGTAATTCTGAAAAATCACAATGACTAAGAAAACCCTGTCCCACAAGTTAATAGGACCGTTTCCTCAGGTTTGAAACCACAGAAGTCTGAATCCATGTTTTTGAGACTGTTGTCAGTACACTACAGTTTTAAGGTAGAAATGCTTCGCTATGACATATAAAAAAACACCATAAAGACATGTTAACATGGTAGAAAACAGACATGGTCCTTAAATCATTGTCATGTTAAGTCACTCTCATTTAAAACAGCTATTGAGCCACATGCTTTCCAGAAATGAAATTGCCGTTTCAGATACCTAACAATGTTAAATATTAAGGTTAAGCTCCTATTGCGCCTAGTGTTATTTGGAATGTAAATTTACCTGAGTGCATTACACATTATATAGTTTCAGCTCAGTAATGCGTTCAGTAACATCCATGCTAAGCTACTGAGTTTGTAAAGAAAGTGTAGGTTCATCTGAGGTCAGTCAGCTGTTATTTCTTTTTCTGTTGCATTTTTTTTTTTTTTAAACTAGAAATTGAGGCTTATCTGCGATTCCCACTGTGAGTAGCTCTAGATAACAGAGTCACTGCACAGGGCGTTTGTAGGGCTGCAATGCAGATGTAATGATCTGGAGCGTAATGTGAAAGAATGTTTGAGTATCAAACTGTCAGAGTTTTACTAGAATGTTGCTAAATATGCTAATTTAAGGAGGATGGTAACGTGACATGTAGCAGTATATCTGTCCAGTGTTGTTTGGGGGTTTTGATAGTTTCATTGTGTCACCATTGAGATTCAATATTAATGCTGTAATTACACTTTTTGTGAATGAGTTTTTATAATCATCATTTAATCTTTTTTTTAGGTGTAGAGTGTTTAAAATATTTAGTCTAGACTAAATATTAAACATTCTAGACTCTAGAGCGTCACTTCAACAGATTAAAACTGATTTTTGGATGGCACCGGCGTTCATTTTCAGTATTGTAGGATGTTTTCTATTCTCAGGCTGTCAGCATCAATCACCGCAGCTTGTAACTCACATTTTTTGACCTTAGTTTATCCTGGGGAAGTTGGACAAAGAATGAAACTCTTTTTCAGGAAGCTGCTGGGTGTGAATAAGTGATTTTTTTTTTCCAGCGCTGAAAGCTAAAGGGAGAAAATAAAATTCCACTGTTCCTTTTCCTAGATTTTGGTGGAAATAGTCAAAATTGTAGTTTTGACAAGGCTCCATAGTTGTCATTGTTAGTTTATATATCCACATTTCTTTTGACACTTGAATAATAATTGTCTTCCCCTTAACGGTAATACTTACCTAAACCTAATTCTGATAAAAAGAAGTTACAGCTGTATTTTTTGATTGAAGTAACACATTTAGAGCATTGTTTTGCCTGGTAGAGATACCACAAATTATTTGGTAGTTATGTTGTGGTTCTAAGTGCTGTTTTCACCCCCAGATTACCGACGTTGCTGCTGTCGGAGTGTGTGCTGGTCTACATGACGCCATCCCAGTCTTCCAATTTAGTTCACTGGGCAGCAGACACCTTCCACACCGCAATGTTCATCAACTATGAACAGGTAAACGGAACAAATGACTTTTGTTGTGTTTCATAGTCATCTTAAAATGGTTTTAATTCTTTTCTCTCTTTTTTTTTCTCATCAATCTAAACACAAAACTCCTCAGTCATAAAGCAAAAACTGGTCTTTGGAGTGTTTGTGAATTATTTAGAAATAAAAGACAATGTCCCATTTCCATAACGTATTTAGACACTTTGTTACAAGTGCTTGAAATTCTTCTATTATTTCATTGGAGTCCACTTGTGCCTGATTGAATTTATTGGGCATAATTAGAAAATCCACACTCCTCTGTATGTCAGATGTTACAGTTGTTACTGTATGACAGACTGAAAGCTACAAGGAGAGAACTGTTTGTAGCCCTGCGAGACGGGGTGGTGTCAAAAGACAGATCTGGGGAAGGATATGACAAATTTTTGCATCATTGAAAGTGCGCAAATGCATGTTGACCTCCATCCTTTTCTAATGGAGGAAGTGTTGAACCACCATCAGTCTTCCTAGATTGGGCTAGCCAGACAAACTGAGTGTCAGGGACAAAGGGGTTGGTCAAAGAGGTAGCCAAGAACCCAATGCCGCTGTGAATGGGAGTGTGTGTGGAGGAAACCAGGCACAATCACTATCTCTACCGCCAAACACGGTGGTGGCAGCATCATGCTGTTTTTCTGTAACAACGACTGGGACATTGAGTAGAGAAAGATGTAGGACAATCTTGAATGAAAACCTTTCCAGAGTGCTCAAGATCTCAGACTGGGGGTTATATTTACACACAGGAGTGACTTCAGGAAAACTGTAAAAGTCATGGAGTGGCCCAGCTAAAGTCCGGACCAGAACCCAATAGAGCATCTCTGGAGAGACCTAAAAATGGCACTAATGCTCCACATCCATCCACATGTCAATCCCAAGAGGGCTATCACAATCAAATATGCTGTCAAGGGAAGAATCTATTGCTTTTATTTGAAATCCTGATTTATTTTAAATTTAAAAAAAAAATTTAACAAAGCACTTCTGAAACCTGTTTTTGCTTTGTCGTTGTGGAACATTATTAGTAGATTGATGAGAAAAAAAATAACTGAATTCAAGAGTGTGAATACTCTCCAGATGCACTGTACACACCTGAGAACAGTCCAGATAGTAGATTTCCCATCTCTTCCATCTTAGTATTCACTGTTGTATGTGCAGTCAATGGATAAAAGTGGTTTTAAATCGTATGAAGTCAAACATTTGATGATTATCTGCACTTTGTACCATAAAGATGTTTGACAATACAGAAGTAGCACATGTCCATCTGAGCAGAGCAATAGTGTACAACATCAATCTTCATCCAATCAACACTGTGTGTGAATCCAGGTGAACATGAGCGATCGATTCGGCCAGGTGATGATCGAGAACCTGCAGCGTCGCCAGTGCACCCTGGCAGGAGTAGAGGCCTGCCAGTCTCTGGACTCTCAGGTAACCTCGTTCACCATTTCATAATGTACTATTTCATAAGGTGCTCAAGAGGTGCTTTGTATCTACGATGTAAAGCTATGCTGCTGGTTCTGCCTTTCAGTCTAATTTTGGAGAATGTCCAGACTTTATATTGTTTACTGCCTGGTGTTTGCAGAAGGAGCGGTTTCTGAAGGCTGGCTGGGAGAATGCCGATGCTCTGGATATGATGACGGTGTACAGTATGCTCCCTCAGGACGATGTAGCAAGGTAAAGTACCGTTGTTTAACATCACCCAGTATCTGCCAAGCATCATTAGTGCTACGATGAGCACAGTTGCATATCTAAGGGCTGCAATATTTGTTGCATAAACACTCGTTTTGCTACCATCTGTCATTTAAAGCAATTTGAGCATAAAGGGCACTCGACACCTGTTGTATACATGAGGATCAAATTTCTCATCATGAGGAGTACAGCTTGTCCTGTAAAAAAAGTGAATGTCCTCAGTAGCTCTGCAGAAGCCTCCTAATGTTTATGGAAATAACTAACATTGATGATGTCAGCACTGGATTGGAGATGAAGATTTAACAGAACGCCTGATTTATGAATGCTGTGGCGATTGAGAAGTGGGCATTCACGAGGCAGATGTCCCAATGAAAGATATTGTAATTGAGTTTCATTGTGGAAAATTGAGCGTCTAGGTTTGTGGAGCGTGAGACCAGAGAACGCTTAGCAACCAAAGTCAGGATATGATGCATCAGTTGGCCTCTACCTATACCGTAATGGACACATATACAATCACTGGAATATCCCTTTACTTTTAAGACTTTTATAATTAATATTATCCATGTTAGAATTAGAATGGCAATTTCAAAGATTTTAATTTAAATTAATATATGTTAAGTCGCTACCTATTGACAAATGAGGTAACACAATAGTGATTTAACCCCACTGAGGGTAATATTGCAGTATTTATGTATTTGAAGAATTATGAACTGGGTGTTTGTGGTGACGTTTCCCAAGAAAAAAAAAGTTGTCACAACATTTCCTACTGTTGTAACTTTACAGTTCAAATTGCTTATCTGACATAACATGAGTTGACCTCTATTGTTAAACAGCCACCATAATTCAGTGTCAGTGAGCTTAGCACTCACTGCTATCATTGGTAAAAATGCGTCTAGACAGGATTGGTTCCTTAGATTAGTTATGTATGAAGCTATGGAAGTCTAAATTTGTGTTTCTGAAACTGTCGTCGGTGTACTTCAAGTTTAAGGTAGAAATGCTTCAATACGGCACTTTCTGTTTTGCTCATGATGTACGTTGAAGGATAGAAAACACACCACATGGACACGTTAACATGGTAAAGAAATGAACGGGCTTATGTCAAGGCACCATTATTTATTTAGCAGATTAAAAACAACAGATTAAACCCAAATATTTTCCAGAAATAAGATTGGCATTACAATTTACCAAACAAGTTTACATATTAAGGCTGAGACTCTGCTGTGTGAATTTACCCAAGATTAAATACTATGGCTGAAACCTCACAAAGTTATGTTCATATTTACCTGACTAGATCAAATTGTAAGGCTAAGACCACCAGTATTGTTAATTATGGAGATTTACCTGACTAATTTAGAAATTAAACTCCCAACAGGTCCAAAGAATCCCTATGAGCAGCACATTTGCCACAGTAGAGAGGAAGAACTTCCTTTTAGCAGGAAGAGACCTCTGATCGTACCAGCCTCCGGGAGGGCGGCCATTTGCCTTGATTTGTGGGGTCGAAGGTAAAGGGGAGAGAGGAAAGGTTAGCAGAGACAAATAAACAAGGGAACATAAACACTGGACCAGCTGGCAGGACAAGCAGTCCTCACATCAGACCTGTGCAGTTCAAGAGCCGGACATACCTGCAGAGAGGGCAAAACACAAATTACGACGACAGGGAAATCACTGAGTTCGCAATAAATTCATGCTAGCTCGATTAAAAAAGAATGGACACTACAATGGCAAAAGACTTAATGAGAAAACCGTTCGATACAAAACAACAGGGCAATAAAAAGACACTTACCTTGGACACGATTCAAGCAGCTTCAGGAAGGACTGAAAAGCAAGAGAAAAATGTGAACCGTACACTCTGATTTAAAACAGCCAGTGGCAAGACAGGATTTAATATGGAATAGAACGATGCTACAAAGCCTTTGAAACAACTGTAGTCTGTTTTTCTGTCCCCTGAATCCAGTGAGCTGTAGTATTAAACCATATCGTGTTGTTGCTGCCACAAATTATGCCAAATCAACAAGAGTAACATTTTGAAAGTGTGGCTTTAAGTTAATGTTGTTTACTGAAGACTGCCGTTGAATTTACAACCAGTGACATAAATGAAGCTAGAAGTTTGTGAAATTATTTCTTTGTATGCCAAACCCTGGAAACAGGCTTTAGCAAAGGGGAGCAAATACTAAACAGTAGAACATTTCTTCACGTGTTCCACGCCTGATGCTTTGTAAACTGATTCCTGCTCATTTAGCCTCCCTCTGATGTGAAACGTCACGTTTTAAGATGAAACGCTGAATTTAATTGATTTCTCGCAGAATCGAGCGTCTGGAGTTCCTGGATGAGAAGGAGCTGCTGCAGCAGCTGCTTCAACACTACAGCATCTGCTGGGCAACCAAGGACAAACTCAACCTGGGTAAATCACGCTTATGTAACCTTTAAATGAATGAACATGTAACATGTGGTAAGAAAATCATTCGCGGTTCCAGGATCCTGTTTGGCTACGATGGCGTCACGCTGCCCATCAGTTTATTTACTTTGTGTGTCAAAATTTTTCAGATTTCCACCCATCCGCCCAGTTTTTAATGTCTGCTGCAATCATTTACAAGAACAGGTCATGTTCTGCTTCCTCAGGTCTGTCACAGTTGGCGTTTTGAGTGCGAAACTGCTCCACTGTTGGACATGCTTTACATGCGAGTTCGCCAAAGTCAACAACAGGAGAAGATTTGTGAAAGGAGCTGTTGGGAAAGAGGAAGCCCTTATTCTCCACCAAGCCCTCATCTGGGAGCTGTTCCGGTGAGGAAAAAATCCCCGCATCAGCAGAACGTGATTTCATGAGCGTCCTTTGTAACCCATACACGCTGAAGATAAGACGCAATTAGACTGAAAGCTGCGAAGAGGTTTGTCACAACGCTGGCGACGGACTGTATAACGGATCGAGTTTGTCAGTTTGCTCCCGGCCGCTGTTGGTCTGTGACTAAACAACCACAAACACCCGCTCACCTGTGTTGGAAAGTAAAAGAATGTGTGAAGAATTTTAGATGTCGTATAGTCTATCCTCGTCTGGTTTTTATGTGCCATTTTCCTTTTTATTTATTGATCCGACACATTTTCTTACAGAACAAACTCGCATGCTAGCGTCAAATTCCAACAAATGCGTTACCTGCAATAAACCGGTTCATTTTCATTTGCCTGTGAAATCTTTTCTATTTTTGAGCCTAGCAAAAAGAACATGACAGATTAGTTTTTAACAGATTGTATCTGATGAATGCTCATCAAGTGCAATTAAATAAAAACATGTTCTTTTATCTAAAATGTTGTTGCCCTGTTCTTTTATGCACTTTATTATGGAGTTCATATCAGCATATCAGTGGGGTTATCTGCAGTGGGAGTGACGAGCCGAGGAGGGATTATCACAGTACATTGGGTGAACTATCGGGTGCCCTGAGATGCACTATGAGACTAAATCATTATTAAGTTTATTGAACTTCGAAATGTAAGTTTGCTTTCTGCCTTAAAAATGCCATTCAGATAAACAACAGCTGATTAATTAATTTAAAGTCAGCTTGTCAAAGTTCAAAACAAAAGAAAACATGGCCAATAAATTTAAGGTATTAAGTTGAATCAACGAGCCACATACCAACGGTGACAGAGATGCTTTTTCTTTCATATTTTCATATAGTTTCTGCTTCATCTAACACTGAAAATTTATCATAATTTATCTAATAATTTATCTAATATCTTAATTTATCTATCTGTACAGAACAAACAGTCAGTGAAGCTGTTCCCGGTTACAGTCAGATAAATTATGTCTCCGGGTGTAGAGACTGAATTCGGTACCAATCTTTGTTGTTAACAGAGTTGTTTTTAGTCTTATGAAAAGAAATAACCATAGCTTGTGGTTTATTACTATTCTATTTTACCCCAAACTACAACAAAAAGGAATCTCTGCAGAGGTTTTCCTATCTAACAACGCGTCTCAGTAATTCTGCTTATGTGCCTTTTTTTTTCTTCATTAAACTGATTTTAATGAGTTGAGTGAACTCGCAAATTTTCATTCACTCAACTCATTATTTTCAAACTGCTTCAAGTTATAGGAGCTTAGATTATGAAGTTGTAAAGTGGTCAAACGGTGAGACATTTTAAGTTCAAAATAACTAGAAATGAAAAAAAACTCACATTTTACATTAAAAAAACTAAAAAAGATGAGTTGATTTGACTAAATTTCTGATCTTTTGTGTGCTCGTATCTATTTTTGATATGATTTTTGCACTTTATACGAGCACCTGCAGGCTTCATGGTGATCCAATATTCAGCTGCTATAAATTAAAGACACAAAAGATGCAACTAATCAAAACAAGTGTTGCTGTTGTGTAAGAATGCATCCCTTATCTGTGTGTGTATGTGTGTGTTCGCTGACAAGAACACAACTCTAATCATTTTATGAGCTTCTCCTGTTCGTTAACAGTCTTGGGAGTATAAACAATTGCAGGAAGGAGGGGCACCAGGGAGAAGAAAAAAAAATGTGGATGTGCGTATGTCCTTTGTGCATCATCCTAAGCGTGCCTTATATATAATAACTGTCCGTCCATCAGACCTGTTAGTGTTGGCTGTGCTCCACTAGTGCGACAAGTGTTTCCACTACAAGACTTCCAGAGCCACGATGTCGGGGGAGGAAACCAAGAACGAGGTTTTCACAGTGACTGAAATGGGAGATGTGGCAGCGGAGAAAGCTGCAATCTCCGCAGACAAGAAGGAATGCAGGTATGAGCTGTATGTGCAGCCCTGCCTGGCTGAGCTGTTTGGGACGAGCCTGTTTGTGTTCGTGGGCTGTGCGTCTGTCGTCGGGAACGTGGGCATCGGTGCCATCCAGCCGGCCGTGGCACATGGGCTGGCGCTGGGAGTGCTGATCATGGTGTTGGGGCAAATCAGGTAAAGACTGGTGACCTTCACTTTTGTTGTTTGTTTTTAATGTTTGCTTCTTATTTTTCTCAAATGTTAGATGTTTTGGTTGACTTGTCTCCTGCTGTAATGTGTGGGGCTGAAATGCTTTAAGATCTTGCTTAAAGAACAACACTGATTTACAGTCATTTTGCCTCAACATGTGAACCTTCACTGCAATTTAAAAAGCCTCATTTGGAAACCACGTTTGTCTTGTTTTCATTGACTTATTCAATCTGATTGCACAAAAAGTACATCAAGTTCCATTTGCAGATTCTGTTTGTTCTGATGGACAGTTGCTACTATCTCCACTTTATAACGCTGTTGGAGAGACACAGAGTAAAGTTCATTGTCTTTATTGCAGTGGGGGACACTTTAACCCCGCAGTGTCTCTGAGCGTCTACCTGTGTGGAGGGATGAAGCTGGTTCTGCTGCTGCCTTACATCCTGGCTCAGTTGGCTGGAGGGATGATTGGTGCTGGTTTGACCAAGGTACCAAACATGTATGGAAGCCCAAATGTGCCCAAACAAAAGATGAAAACCTAGTTCAACGAACACTAAAATATCATCCTTAGTCTTAATTTTAACTTACTGAGTTAAGTTTTGAATTATTAAGTGTTAAAAATTTAAATATTGATTATAAATCATCATAATTTTGATTTATTTTGAGCCTATTATTTGGTCTGCCATCTCTTAACATTGATTTCGCAAGTCAAGGTTTTAATTTATCTCCTACTTGTGACCGATTCAGTCAAAATGTTGACCGAGTCTCTTTTTTCTCATGAAACAAAAATTTAGATTTATTTACATCTAATCTTGATTTAGTTATCTTGATGTAGTAATTCCAGATGTATGTTTTGTGACTAAATTGTAAAATGTAAAGTATTTTCTCACAATTTTCTTGTATTCATTTTTTCACCTATTATCAGTAAATTTTGACTTATAAGTAAACATTTTAATTGATTATCTCATCGCACATCTATATTCTTATCTTTAAAAAAACCTAATATTGTCTTACAGTTGTGCCATAGCAACATTAAGATTAAACAACTTCTAATCATGATTTAGTTATCTTGATATATTAATTCCAGATGTATGTTTTGTGACTAAACTATGATGTATTTTCTCACAACTTTTATTTATCATATTTTTCATCTATTATCTGTAAACTTTGACTTAGAAGTAAACATTTTTATTAATTATCTCATGACACATCACTTAAAATACTGCCTTACTGTCTTAATATGTCTATATTTTAAAAAATCAAAAGCCATTGTAAACCTAAGACTGAATAACTTCTAATCTTGATTTAGTTATCTTGATATATTAATTCCAGATTAATGTTTTGTGACTAAACTATGATATATTTTCTCACAATTTTCATTCATCATTTTTTTTAACCTATTATCTCTAAATTGTTGCCTATAAGTAAACATCGATATTTTTTTTTACAATCTGTGTCTTTAGTAACTTTTAATCAAGACAATGTGTTAAAGGCTTGATTTCCTTCCAGTCAAGTTTACCATATAAGTTATATATTGTATTTTTGTTCTACTTTCAGGCCATGTACACGTCTAGTATATATGACGCTTCCCTTGGAGGAGCATTTAACGTAGCCGGTGATCTCGGTAGAACCACGCTGGCAGAAGCAGTGATGACCCTGATCCTTACCATGGTGGTCTGCATGGCGGCCGTCAACAGCCGAACCCGAACACCGGTGGCCCCTTTCTGCATCGGCCTCACTGTGACGGCCAACATACTTGCTGGGTAAGAAAATACAATGAGTCCTGAGTCTCGCCTAAACATTGTCTGATATTCCATTTCTGCCCGTTTGCCCTTTCAGTCATGGTTGTGATCTGACACGCTGAGGATCTGATAGCAAAGAAAGCTTTTTTTTTCATGTTTGATGCATTTAACTGTTTAATCATCCCTTCCAAATGTTGATTAATAAAACATTCCATTATTAGAGTAGAATTATATATAATCAAGTAAAACAGACATAAATTATGTGTATAATTAAAAATGTATTGAAATGACATTTAAAAGCCACTGATTTTGTGTTGCACTTGGGGGGCTTTTGAAAACAACAGAGATGGTAAAAATGGAAGCTGCAGGGGCTCAGAAATACTAACTTTTAGTCCTTAGTTTGGGTTAATACTGTTGGAACTAATGCAAGCAAGTAGGTACAATAGATATTATATAACAGATTACAATAGATCCTAATTTTCCCATAATGCAGTATACTTCCACGTGAGTTCAGTTTCCCTTGAAATCCTCACACACGGGCTTTATTTCATTTACAAGTTGCTCACTTGTGGGACAAAAGCTGTTCTGTTGCTCTGACCAGCACCTGTGTTAAACTGTTGCTGCTTGTTTATTTCAGAGGAACACTGTCCGGAGCCTGTATGAACCCTGCCAGAGCCTTCGGTCCTGCAGTCGCTGCCAACCACTGGGAACATCACTGGGTCTACTGGGTCGGACCCACGTGTGGCGCGCTGCTCACTTCCAGCTTCATCAGGTACGTTAAGTTCAGAGTAGTGCAACACTTTCAGGATTCAGGAAAGAAAATACAAACTCTTTGCTTTTCAAACTTTTTTTGTTGTTTTTGTCCACAGTCACTCTTTAAAAAAAGTTACATGTAGAAGATAGTTTTGAAATGTTAAAACTTAAAGGACCCCTATGTTTACTTAAAGGACCCCATGTTTTTTTTTGTTGTTGTTACTTTAACAGTTCTTTGGTGCAGTATTTCTATAATTATGACCCCAATTTGTTGTTACATTTCATATACAAGCTTGATGCACATCCTGTTATTGGTTTCAAATCAGTCAGTGTTGGTAATTCATCAAGGAGAATAGTTACGCGGCAATGAATGCAGTAATGAAGTAGATGGCTTCCAAAGCAAGATAGATGTAAACAACGCAAAATTTAAAATATACTTGAGTGGCCAATGTGTTTATTAGACCTCAATGATACTCACAATGCATATAGATGAGAATTATGTATGTTAACTATAAGAAAACTCAACTATGTACTTTAAAGACCCCTTTCTGATCATTTTTATTATTATATTTTTTCACCTCAATAATCCGTCCATATATTTTTCGTATGCTAGAACACATCATAAGCAGTAGTCTAAGCAGTCAACACTATGTCTGAGCATTTCTTCCTTAAAAATGTAGTGTACTGATGACAAAACACATACAGAATCAGACATGTGAGGTTTCATGCGTAACAAAAATAAGACACCAATCCTGTCAGCTTGCAGTGTGGAACCTTTTGTATCGTTATTCTTCTTCTTCTGTAGTTATACAGTGTTTGAGCAGTGTCATGGGTGAGCTGGTGTGCTTGAACTGCAGTGAGAATGGAGGGTTGAGTGGAGAGGAAGGCGAGGAATTCATAGATCAGTACATTGTAGAGGAAACAATAGTATTTTAAGATGGGAAGGGACTATTTTTATGGAAAGAATAATAAATCTATATCCAATTCTGACACACAGAAATGAGTTTTTAGGGGTTTAGCCAATGCCTGGAGTGGGTTAATAATGGTGGATAAAATTTTACAGCGTTTCCATTGTGTACTTTACCTCCCATGTGTGGGTTCAGATCGTTATTCAAGCTGATAACATAACCCTCAGTTAAATGCACGGGAGATTAATGTAATTGGACAGAGTCGAAGAAGCGAATGTGACCAAAACGTAAACAAAGGACACAAAGATCGCTTCTTTCCAACTCTGGCGCCTCGCATAATGCTGGAACGTCACGAGTGTACCTTATGTAAATAGACACGTGAACAGATAAGCTGCTGATTGTAATCTGCTCAATTTAAAAGGTCAGTTGTTGATATCCTTTTTAGCTGGACTTCAGTCTAACTTGAGAGGAACATGAGCTCCACCCAGTGAGCTTTAGCTTCGTTACAGTCTGACCTCTTACCTACAGTCGTCCTCTAATGTATTCCATTAAAGAAAAGGCAAAATTCACAATAGTCACTCAAATAACTAGAAACTGATAAAAGTGATAATAAATAAAAATTTGCTAAATTATAATGTAGTGAAATAACACATTGCTTTTGAATTGTGGTTGAAAAGAATTTTTTTTTTTTTTTAAATCAGTTTTGGACAAACTGGAGCACTTTGCTGATGAGCAGTGGGCCAAAATCATTTGCCAGTTTTTTTTGTTTTGTTTTGTTTTTTTAATATTTCTGTTGAACCACAATTCAAAAGCAATGTCATGATTTTCATTGTATTTTTATTTATTATTACTTTTGTCAATTTCAATGTATTTCAGTGACATCTGTTTTTTGTCTCCTTCTTTAATGGGAGGGTATGAATACATTTGAGGACGACTGTACCTGCTCGCATTAGTTCCAACAGGTTATTACTAACTAATGACTCATTGTTCTTAAGGAAGAAAGGCCCCTAAACTTTATAAACAGGAGCAAGACCCAGAGACCAAAGACTGAGTGGTTCTTTAGAGTCTGTTTGTTGCTGTTTGGATTCACATTGTGTCTCTTTGTGTCATTTCACATCTTTTTGTAGATATTTTAGGCCTTCTTGTGGACATTTTAAATCTGTGCTATTTGGTGGCCGTTTTGCATCTCACTTAAGTTGTTAAGAGTCTGTTTTCAGTGTGATCCTTTAGGGCTGTTGGGCCTCAGTGATCCATCCATGTTCCTAAACAACACTAACCCACCCAGAGTGCTGTTCACTCACAGAAGTGTCACTCTTTTTCAGGTTGATGCTCGGCGATCACAAAACCCGAGTTGTGCTAAAATGAGAGCGATCGAACGCGCCGACCGACCTGACGACAGCTCTTCCGTCTGAATGTTCGCGCATGACTCAGCAACGAGGCTGCGACGTGCAAACTTGCAAGAAAAACACACTTCTCTTTGGACGTCTCTTTGGATCAGCTATAATTGTTACAGTCTTTTGTATTCATTGTTTGGGTCAAAGTCCTGAACGGACAATCACACCTAAAATATCTTTATTACTTAATATATGGTACAAGGACAGGGTGCTGTGCTACACAATAAAGCCAGATTAGAATCGTAAAGCGGTGCCCTTCGATCAAATGAAACGCAGCCGCTACTTCTGTTAAAGTCAAAGTCTTCTGAAACACAGCCAAAATGTACAACAAAAATGGATGGAAGATGGATCCTTCAGCCCTGTGAAACCATGAGACCCAGAACTGTTTTCGTCCAACACTTTCTATAGTATAGATGTATTATAACATGTACACAGGCCTGAATCAGATTCTACAGCAACAGGAACAACATACGCAAATACTGCATCATTTTTACAAAGGATTTTTTCTTATTTAATGTCACTGCCAGAAGAAGTATTTAGATCCAGTCGTCATGTAAAAGTAGGAACACCCCAATCCAAGATCTGTGTATGCAGAAAAATGTCTCTTTTGATATTGTATATACTATCAGTCAATTATTACTGATAATTAATCAAACCTAGAGCCATTGTATCATAAAAACATGTAATTTCATTTAAAGAATAAAACTCACTGTACAATAAGAGTACAACTTTTGTTTTTTAAAGTGCTTCTAATTGAGACATCAATGCAAATCACAAGCAAACGATGATTAACTTTCACATCAAAATGAAAAAATACACAACACACGTATTCCTCTCCTACACCTAAAACACAGAAGACACTTCCATCCATCCATCCATCCATTCATCCATTATCTATACACCGCTTAGGGTCATGGGGGGCTGGAGTCTATCCCAGCTGACTCATGGTGAAAGCAGGAGACACCCTGGACAGGTCACCAGTCTATCACAGGGCTACACTTAGAGACAGACAACCAAGCACACTCACATTCACACCTATGGGCAATTTAGAATCATCAATTAACCTCAACATGTTTTTGGACCTTGTGGGAGGAAGCCGGAGAACCCGGAGAGAACCCACACTGCACGGGGAGAACATGCAAATTCCACGCAGAAAGATCCCGGGTGTCCTCACCGAACCGGCGACCTTCTAGCTGCGAGGCAACGATGCTAACCACCGCGCCACCTTGCAGCCCCAGAAGACACTTATACACGATAAAACAAAATATGAAAAAAAAAGATTTCCAAGTCCCACTACATCAAACATACTAAATCACTATTTAATGCGAAGGAGAAAAGAAAGAAAGATTTTTAAAAAAATGTTTTTAAAACGGTGCTACCATTATATCAATTTAAACTGTTTATAACTATTGACTTTTATTGCAGTTACAGATTTTTTTTTTTTTTTTTTTTGCACTTTTTGAAGAAAACAAGATTCGGAGAACTCAGTTACAGACAGAAATTCCTCGATAAGATAAGATGACATCAGATAAGACGAGTTAAGATAAACTTTAATGATCCTCACTGGAAAAACATGCCACACCTGTGGCTTTAAAAAGGCAAAACTAGAAATACAAAAGTACAGCAAGGCTAAAAATGAAGACATAATAAACACTATGTACATCTTGAACACCAAGATGAGTTTACATATGGACCCAGTTGAAGGACACATTAAAAAAAAACTCTCCCCAGCTGCTGAAACCTCTGGATAAGAGGAAAAAAAGAAGCAACATGAAGTAGAGACATACCCTAAAAGAGCCTAAAAAAGTGGTTTCATCCCAATGAAACCAATATCTGGTGAATGCCAAAGTATCAAACACATCAACATGTTTAGAGATCTGCTGTGCTCTGATTCCATGTATCTGTATTCTGTGTTTATATCCATCTAGATTTTCCAAGCTCTGTAAGTAACCTAATGTATGTGAACGCTTTGAAGAATAACATATTGAAAGTTCAGCTCATATTTTTCACATTTTCAAAGTCACACGGTATCCGACTTTTGTCATTCTGATACTTCCAGATTCTCTCCTGCCAGCATTTATGGTGAAATACATGTAAAAAAAAAAAACAGATATAGAAGCTAATAGGATCTAGATATCCTTCTGGGGAAAAAAAGGAGATACAGCATGCACAGCGAGTCCTCTTAATGACAAAGATAAGAGCTTAAACGTGAAGGTAGGGGGCTCAAAGGGTAAAAGGAAAGACAACGGCGGTGGAAAAACACTGCAGCACAAATAAAGGTTGCATCCAAAACATCACCAAAGTTAAATTTCTACTAAGTATTATGTCACCTAAAAACAATACTGCAGAAAATTTATTGTTATATGGCATTACTAGACTGTTCCAGTGACGCAGCATAGCTGGAGCAGAGCTGAAGTGTGGGAGCTCACCAAACTGAACTGTTTTGTTTAAGGCGGTTTAATGCTTGGATTTGAAATAAGCGAAGTTTAGATGCACAAATCTTGGATTTCTGTGGTTTTTCTTTGGTTTAATTTGACTAAATGATTAGGATTAAAATGACATCAGAGTGGAAAATATGTCTAACAGGGGAGTTTTTGTACAGAAGTTCAGAAATCACTGGTTTAACCGTGAAATGTAAAATCACATCTAAAAACTAACTAAGTGTTAAATAGGGCAGCTCAGGTGGTAGAGCAGGTTGTCCTCCAGTCGCAGGGATGGCGGTTTGATCCCCCTTCACAGTCGAACCCGGAATTGCTTCCAATGGCGGCAGCTCCTTGCAAGGCAGCTCTGTTGCCATTGGTGTATGAATGGGTGTGTGAATGGGTGAATGAGGAACACATTGTAAAGCACTTTGGATAAAAGCGCCATGTAAGTGCAGACCATTTACCAAATAGGTGTAAAATGCACCATATTTTAGTTTTAAAAAGTAGCAGAGCAGAAAGACAAAGGGCCATTAAGTGGTAATAAGTGGTAATAATCGTAATAAATACAATGCTTGGCAAATATGTTTACTTTGGTGTGTTATGTAAACGTCTGATAGAGAGCAGAGTGCACTCAGACGCTGACCCATATGAGCTATTGCAAAGTCATTAGCCCAGGTTAGTCTTATCTATATAGGCTCCTGGTGATTGCTATAGGCTTGCTTGTGAATCTAAAAAAAAAAAAACAGCAAACACCATGATTGTAATAAAGAACCCTGTAACCCCCCCGGACCTGAACCCACGAGCTCGGGCCCAGCCTTGAACCTCTCGAGTCTCTCTTTGAACCTTATCATCCCTTTTTGCTTCAGGTCACGCTGACAACTAGTCGGAGGTCTGGCTAACCGGGCCAGACAGAGGCGCACAGCTTTGGGTGTGTATTGTGTTGCTTTAACAAATCGCAGAATATCCTTCGCCTTTATAGTTTTACAACCTGTGATGCAATTTGAGTTCAGTGTGCCAATTTCAGGTGATGATTATAAATAAGCCCAGCGCCTCAGCGTTCGTGCTGGTTTCACTGTAGGTGCTGCAGGTGACAGAAGTAGAGTAAACCAAGCAGGGAAACAGCAGCAGCCATAATGGGAGCAGAGAAAATGGAAGTGGAGGATTCTACTCTGATGGAAAGAGGCAAGAGGTCGCCCGCGCCCAAACCTCCCAACACGTTTGAGAGAATCTACCAGCCGTGCTTGGCTGAAATCGTGGGGACCATGTTCTTCGTCTTCATCGGATGCGTGTCGGTCATCGAGAACCTTCCGCAAACCGGACGCCTGCAGCCGGCTCTGGTGCACGGATTGGCGGTGGCGGTTCTGGTGGCGGTCATGGACAACATCAGGTAGAAAGTGAGGCCACAGTGCTGGTTGCTTGTTGCTTCTTGTTATATTTCAAACATCATCCAACCAGATATTTAGCAGAAGTCTGAGTGGAAACAGTCTCTTGAAGTTCATTGCTTCTTCTCCCTCCTTCCAGCGGCTCCCATTTCAACCCTCCCTTCACCATTGCCATCTACCTGTGTGGAGGCATGGAGCTGGTGATGATGGGGGCCTACCTGGTCAGCCAGCTGATTGGAGGAGTGCTGGGAGCCGGAATGGCAAAGGTCAGCTTGAAACAGCTTAATGAAAAGATGTTCTGTTGGTTGCACATTTGCTCACCACCGCCGCCCTCATCCACAGCTGATGACCCCTGCAGACCGTTACCTCAACGCCACGGGAGCAGCTTTTGACCTCCTCAAGTCAGAGGACCAGCTGTACAAGGCCCTCTTCGGGGAGGTGGCCATGACCTGCCTGGTGACCATGGTGGTGCTGCTGGTGGCGGTCAACGGCAAGACCAAGACCCCACTGGCTCCGTTCGTGGTGGGCTGCACGGTCATCATCAACGTCCTGGCAGGGTGAGGCAAAAGGGCGGCGAGCGGAACACGTCTCATGGTAGCCGATTATCGCGAGGGCCTTTACTACTGTTAAACATTTACACCGGCACTGACAAAGCTGCCAGCTGATAACAAGGGATGTTTGTTTCAGAGTCAACATTTTCCAAAGAAAAGTTGATTTCAGGGATTTCACACTTAGACACAGCAGCTAAAAAAATAAAATAAATAAATGGGACACAGGTAATAAAGAAGAGTGGTGATACAGATGTCACTAGTGTTTTTTGTTCTTTTTTATGTTTGTGTATTTTAAAGGAAAAGCACCAGATACCTTTTTTTTTTTAAATTTATTTTTGGAATTATTGTGCTTTTTAAAATATAGGATAAAAATAAATAAAGTCTGAAATAAATATGTTTTGGAATAAAAACAACAAAAGGCTTAACTAATCAAACAAAGTATTTTTTTGGTTACATTTTGATATGTTTACTCAGTTTGACTACAGATTATGATTGTTTTTATCACATTATCTAAATTATATGATGAGAATTAATGGTTTTGTCTCAAAAATTATTTTGAATTTTTTTTTTAAGTCTTGATTTTTATATTCTAAAATACTTTTATTTTGGAATAGTCTCTTTGAATTTATTTAAATTGAATTAATAGATAAAATGTTTGGAAAAAAATGTCAGGTGCGAGGTGCAAACAAATGCTTCACTTCAGTTTGATTGTATTCATCATGTTTTTATATTTTTAAAATTTAACTACAGCATTATCTACAATTATAAGTTGCCAGTTGATGCCAGTTTCACACTGATCAGAATCTCTTTGGTCGTTGAACCAAATGTAAGATTTTAGAACTGTAATTCACATTAGATACACATGGACCGAAGTTGTGCGTAAATGACACTCGTGCGTAAAAGTGCGCACAAAACTAAAAACTGTATTCATAATCAGCCATTTTATGCTTTTTTTTTTTTTTTTTAACTTTTCTTTTTTTGTGGGTACAGGGCTGACGTATCCGGAACGTGTCTGAACCCTGCCAGAGCTTTCGGTCCAGCTCTGATTGCCAACTACTGGACCTACCACTGGGTGTACTGGGTCGGACCCATCGCAGGAGGTGTGCTGGCCGCTGGTCTGCTCAGGTAAGAGGAGCCGCTCATGGCTCAGTGTTGGATAAATCAATAAATGGACAGGAGTGACAGCAGCAGTCTCACTCTGCCTCTCTTCTGTTTTCAGGCTCGTCCTCGGGGATAATAAGTTACGAGTCGTTATGAAATCCTAACAGCCTCTGCTGCGTGTTTACGGCGGTGCAGGTGTCAATAAACTTGTAAACACCATATCAGTCCATATCAGTTTGGAACCATATAATGTCATGTGGTCTGTTTGATACCGTAGTTGTTGTTTTTTTTCTTTCTCTCTCCTGTCAGTTTGTGTAATGGGTGGATGTTTTTCAGTTTGAAATAAAGACAAAATGGATAAATGATCGTTACTATACTGTTTTTAACTGTAGATTCAACTGTACATTTTACTGTTATTTACAGATTTTACCTGTTTTGCTACAGTACAGATGACAACTAGTAAAGTCACAGAAAAAAAACGTATTAATTTACATGTCAATTGCAAAAAACACACAAAATTCGTGTTGTTTTTTGGCTACGCCCTTTTGCTGCATTTCAATATTTTTTAACAGGTATTTGCAGTTATTTCAATGAAAAAAGGTATATATATATAGAACTGAAAGATAGTACATAATTTGTAAAAACTCTTATTTTACAGATTTTCCCTGTTTTGCTAAACTACAGAAAAAGGGATTCGTTTACATGTTAACAAAATAAAGTTAATAGAAATAGGTTAAAACTGTCAGAAAAATCTGCTTTTCTACAAATAGTAATTAGTTGTTTCACAAAATGTAGCTGTTCTACTGTATTTAAACCATCTGAGGTGTCATTATTTTTCATATTTGCTGCTATTTTCCATTTTTCTTTATTTCTTTTTTTCTGTTGTAAACGTGACACTATTTCATACTATTTTATATTGCTTTTTTTTTTTTTTAATGACAATTTATAAGATAATTTTGTGAACTCAGTGTGACACGTGCAGGCGTAAAAGCCAAGACATCTCATCAGGAGACATAAAAGACACAGTAGTTTCAGACTTTGGCGGCATGCAGTTTATTAATTTTCTTGTCAACACAAGTCACATTGATCTTGTGTGGCAAGCTGCACTCTCTCTCCACGACTTAACGATACTTCTCAGCGAGAGCCAGGGCCAGGCAGCTCATGAACTTATCGGTGGCGACGTGAGCCTCTGGGGTGAACTCTTTGGGGAACATATTGGCGATCACCACCATAACGCAGTGGGCCAGGAGCTGCAGAAAGAGGACACGAGTTTATAACACATATATGGTGTGTACTGCCAAAAATCTTGTCAGGAAACAAAGAAACGTGTGCGTAAATCCATGCGTAAAAGTGCGCGCAAGTCATTTTGCTGGGTGCGGACTCAGTATAAAGTTCTGTATGTATAAAAGTAATTACTGCGCGGTGATCTCAGTTTATAACTCATAATGCAGAGGTCTCACCTTGAAGTTAGCCGGGTCCACCCTCAGCTGGAAGGCGTGCAGCTCACTGAGGTCCAGCAAGCCGGCGGTGAGATCATCGATCTTGGACACAGCCAGAGCGACTCCACTCATCACCTTCTTTCCGTGCGCCTTGACGGGGCCAGAGCCGAAGCTCAGATCGGGCCAGTGGGAGAAGTAGGTCTTAGTTTGCGGGTACACTGAGAGCATCCTGTGGAAACAGAGAAGTTGGACAACATTTAATGCAAACCTCAGTGTAGGCACGGGCTCCAGTGGCGCAATCGGTCAGCGCGCGGTACTTATAAGACAGTAACCTGCAGAGCCATGCCGAGGTTGTGAGTTCGAGCCTCACCTGGAGCAAAAAGCTCTTTTTTTGATTTTTGATTTGATTTTGACCTCTGTAAAGGTTTGTGGTCTCAGAGCAGTCACGGTGTCTGGTAATGCGTTGCATCCCTGAAACGAGGCCAATTTTGCGTTAAAAAAAAAAAAAAAAAAAGATTCAGGAGGTATTACTATTTAAATTGTTTATATTTTTAGCAGGGCTGCAAGAGTTTGCAAGTTCCCCCATGTGGGTTCTTCCTCCCACAGACATCCAAAAACATGTTAAGGTTAATTGGTGATTCTAAATTGTCTGTAGGTGTGAATGTGAGTGTGCTTGGTTGTCTGTCTCTAAGTGTATCCCTGTGACAGACTGGTGACCTGTCCAGGGTGTCCTCTACCTTCACCCTGAGTCAGCTGGGATAGACTCCAGCCCCCCGTCACCCTAATGAGGATTAAACAGTGTATAGATAATGGATGGATGGATATTTTCAAGCTGAAATTAACCCACTTTGTTGATCTAGCAAACAACTTCAACAACAAACGTTCTTTGAAAAAAAAAATAAAAAAAATTACTATGCTGTAGGTGTCGGTGTCATCCTCTGCCTGGCATCAGTCAAACTGCCCAGCTGCAAAACTCACACGCCATAAAACTGAACATTAATTTAAAAACACGAATAAATATGACTCTCACCTGCCCAGAGCATCAGCTCCGATGGCATCCGCAGACTTGGAGATTTTTCCCCAAAGGGCCTTGACGGCAGCCTTGTCTTTGTCGGTCAAACTCATGTCGGCTCTCTTCTCAGTCGAATACTGATGCCAGGTTGCCCCGAAGCTCTACTTAAATTCAGTTGGCCCACAGAGTCACACCCACTGAAAGCCATGCCAGGCTGGGTCCCCTGACGCAGATAGCCCCCTTTACAGTGGCCTCACGCCAGCAGGACACGTTATCAGCGGGTCTCATCGTGGGGCCTAGTTGGCAAAAACGTGGGTATGTACTCGTAATTGGAAGCACGTGACTGCGTTTTGGGTTCATGATTTGCTGGTTAGTGACGGCGAGACAGACCCACCCGGAGGCTGAGAGGACACCTCAGGTCATGACAGAGTCAGGCGAGGCCAAGTCAGTTGGAGAGACGTTGCCAGAGCGCGTCCGACTGGCTGATGCGCATTTAGTCAGAACACAAGAGACAGAAGGGAAATGTGAGCAGTCTGAACAGAAACACACTGATTCATTAAAATGCTTTTAATTATGATAGATCAGCCAATTAAAATGTGCTTCCCCCATATTCTAACCTGAATTCTAAGCAAACCAGCAGATCTGTGTCACATTTTTATACTTCTGCTTGTAATCTAGTATTTATACAAACATGTACAGACTCTATAAAGACTTTATTTCCAATTTTATAGTCCAACGGTTAACAGTTGTGTGTTCTCACATATCTTGCTGCGCCATGCACAAACTTCAGCTCTTAGAAAAATGCTGGATTTTCAGAACAAATTCACCATTTGTGTTTTAAAAAATAAAATAATCAAGATCACATCAGGTTTATTGTCATTTTGCTGAACATACACAGTAGTACAGATGAGAGAGCGTTTCCTCAGGATCCAAGAACTTAAAGCAACTTAAATACAGACGTGTTTGCACATCTGGATCAGCAGTTCAGCATAAAATGCAAGTACATATATGTATATATAGTAAATTATTTGAAAAAAGTAAAATCCAAGAATTAGATTTTTTTTAAGTTACAGACGGAACAAAAAAGTAAGAAAAAAAACTCTAAAACTGACAATAATTGTCATCATAAAATTCCAGATAAAATAAATGAATAAACATTATTTTCATATTACACAGTCAACTGAACTGAACACACACACACACACACACACACACGTAAAATTTCTTTCATGACCTGAAGAGCTTGTACATGTCTGTTCTCCAACTCTCGGATCTCCCTTCTGCTCATATGATCATTTAGATTTCTTTATTTAGTTTTTTTTTAATGTTAATATCTGAATACAGGCCAGTAGAAGAAACTAATCCTTGAGTGAGAACCTTTTTTCACGTTCTTTTTTCTGCATCTTGCGCAGAGATATCCAACAAAGATAAACCGTCTGAAAGGTAACTTAAGGACACCGGTTGAGAGGAATCACATCACGTATGGATGCGCTTTCTGCTTTTTGTAAAGGACAAGACATCCAGGGGGTAAACAAAAAAAGTATTTCCACCTGCAGCAGCCTGCAAACACTCGATTAATAATTTTCCTTAAAAATACTAAAAGTGTTTTATCATGTTGCAGCTGAATTATAAGACTGATGAGTGACTTGTTTCTTTTTCTTCTTTTAAAATTTGGCACAAGTTTTATCTCCACTGCATTGTGACTGGAGTCATCGATTTCTTTCCTATCAAAGGGAGAAGCTTTTATCGACGAGTTGTGGCATTTTTTTGCTAAAGTTAATCAAACTGTGGTGGATGTGGGCACCGGGCTGCTGGGTGGAGGGTGGAGGGGGCGCTGCTGCAGATAACACCGGCGTGGTTTTGCCGATAACGGCGCTGGTGACGAACCCTCCTGAGCTTCTTGGCAAGAAAGCAAAACTGAGCTACATCTAAAAATCACACTCAAGGAGCCTCAATGAATTCTGCCGCCTTTTTTGAAACTTAAGGAAAGAAAAATCTAACTTGAGGGACGTTGTGTTACATTTTCTTAAAAAACACAAAAAAATAAAGTTTTTCTCTTTTTTCTTTCTTTTTCTTTTTTTTAAGATTTGAGAAAATACTTAAATTCTATTATTATTTATCTGTCTGGATCCTTAAATGATCTATTCAGGGTTTCTTCACACATGCATTTATAAATAAAAATCATAACAGATTTATGGTTGAATGGGTTAATAACTGCTACTCCTGTCCATAAACTGCAAATCCTATAGCAATAATACTATTCTTACAGTCTATTCTGTTTATTCTGCTCATACCTGCAGATTTGGATGATCTAATTTATGTTGCATCCATACATCTTTCTATATAATTAATATATGAGTGTGTTAATTCTGTTTATGCTCTAACATACAGTAAATAAGGCACTTTACTTTTTCTGTGCAATAAAATGAATCTAATCTAATAACAAGCAACAAATTCAAAAGAGTTCATTTCAGTAGTTTAGGATTCAGTTTGAATGAAAAAAGGCCCGTGGAGCAGCTTAGATTAGGACTCTGCAAAACTGTAGAGCTGCACATGGATGAAATGTTCCCTCACAAGTCAGATCTCCTCTAAAAGTTCTCCCTCTGTATTTTTTATTACCCAATAAATTGCTTCATCACCAGTTCCTCTGGTTTACTTTAATTGAGCCTGAAAACTTAAGATTAATAAACCAATATCAAAGCATTCCAGAAGCTTCTGGAGAAGTCTTCGGTTTATCTCCAACTCTTCATCTGCAGCCTATCGCGGCCTTCTGCTGGAGGGGCGGGGGGCAGCTTTGACACGTTTAAATAGACCAGAGTCGAGCTGAAGAAGTATTCAGTCTTTTCTTTTCGAGCCTGAACCAAAAGAATAATCAAGAGCCAACATGGTTGAGTGGAGTGACCAGGAGCGCAGCATCATCAATGGCATCTTTGCCAACCTGGACTACGAAGACGTCGGCGCCAAGGCTCTGTGCAGGTACTGAACAGCTCGCTGCTTCTTCTTCTTCTTCTTCTTCTTCTTCTTCTTCTTCCAAGCATCTCCATCTTCCTCTGGTTGCCAACTCACCCGTCTGTTTCCCCTCCTGTAGGTGCCTGATCGTCTACCCCTGGACTCAGAGGTATTTCGGCTCCTTCGGCAACCTGTACAACGCCGAGGCCATCAAGACCAACCCGAACATCGCAGCCCACGGAGTGAAGATCCTGCACGGTCTGGACCGGGCCGTGAAGAACATGGACAACATCAAGGCCACCTACGCCGAGCTGAGCGTCCTGCACTCCGAGAAGCTGCACGTGGACCCCGACAACTTCAAGGTAAAGCTTCATCATCTTTATTTCTTGAATGCAACAGACTTCACTTTGCAATCAGTTCACGCACAAAGTAAAGGATTGTGCCATCACTTATAAACAACACAAAACAGACGCAAACCAACATTTAGGCAAAAATATAAAACTGCGTAAAAATACAAATATTCTAAGTATGTAACGTCTGTCTCTTCTTCGCACAGCTCCTGTCTGACTGCCTGACCATCGTCATCGCCTCAAGGTTGGGCTCCAACTTCACCCCTGAGACTCAGGCCACCTGGCAGAAGTTCCTGGCCGTGGTGGTGTCCGCTCTTGGAAAGCAGTACCACTAGATCCTGCGCATCTGGTCATCAGAGGGAGATCTAACGTCTCTTTACATCTGTTATGTGTCTCCTCAGTGAAGAAAATTCAATAAAAGCCCACTGAAGCAAAAATGAATTTGTGGTTCTGATTTTCATTTTACGCATGCGTAATTACGCACAGCTGTATGTTAGATGGGGCGTTTGGTAACAATACAAGAGGGTGTAAGTTACTACAGGAAATCGACATAATAAACTTTAAATATTATCCCAAAAAGACATTCTACATGTAATAATATCTAATAAAGGCACAGCGACTGACATGAGCGCATAATAGAAAGTTTATCGTGGTGGTTTTCATAGTATTAGAATGGTGTCAGCTGAGCAAGAAGTAGACTCTCTTTCTAAATACACGACAGTTGACCACCTCCACTATCAGGGACTGAAGTCCAAGAAAAAAAAAAAAGAAAAAAAGACAAGAACTCGAAGGTCCCGATGCCTCAGTTTGTCGGGTCAGATAAGGACAGCTGAGCCCAGAGAGGACAGCGCACACTTTCACGTCTTTGACGTCGAAAAATTAATGCAATTTAAGATTTTCAAATCATGAAATAACACATATTAGTAACCAAAAGCGTTAAACAAATAAAATAAAATTGGTTGCTGTTTGCCTTTTGTTGACAGATTTACGCACTATGGCCAAAATCTTAACCAGCTTCATGGGATTATTTTTGCTTCGGCCACAATCAGCCATGTGTGTTATTTTATATTTTTCTTGTATAAGTTTTGTTTTGCAACATAGAAAATGTAAAAATAAATAAATAAAATTTTAAAAACCTCTTTGAATAATGTCCTAATGGTTTACTGATACTTCACATAGAAATCCAAATTGGAGATGTGCGTAATGCTGGTTTGTTGGAGCTGTGCAGAGTCAGCGGCGACTCGTTAGCCCCGCCCACAACACAGGCCACGCCCACTCCAGGTCAGCCTCAGCTTGACCTCCATCACCTCACTCAGAGGTCAACGCTGCAACGATGCAAGTGCTCGTTCAAAGCAGCAGGTGGCTCCAATCCGATATTTGTGAACAAGAGGTCTCAGTTGTGATTCTGGTTTTACAGGCTGTTGTTAACACCTAGTTTACACTGTAAATCATTTGAAGTACAATCAGCTTAGAAATATATATTTAAATTATTATTATATAAATTGTATTTTGCTTGCTGCTTTAAAAATGTACGTTTTCTGCACCCCAGCAGCTCAAAGTCGTCTTTGGAGCTGTGAAAGTGTCAAACTAGCTGAGTTAAATCAACAGAACGAAAGAAAACAAGCTCAACAAACTTTAGTTAAATAAATTAAATCAACTAGTCATTTACAATCAGTCAACTTTAGCAGATGACTGAGTTCAGATTCAGTAGAACAGGTTTATTTCAGCACCAGGGACAGCGCTCCATTCCTGATCTTTATGACAAACGGCTCCTTGTTTACTGCTTAAACAGTAACTAGGCTCAGTCATGTGCTGTCTTCTCCCAGTGGTCTCCTTAATGCTGATCAGGAAAACATTAGGTTTGTTTTAAGTTCTCATTAATCTGGAGCGTTGGAGTAAAGACAACATACGGAGCTACAAAACATCAAAACACCAGACTTTTATCCTGATGACTGGGCCAGGTTTAGATGTGGATGTTTTTAGTTTAATGTGACCATTTTCCTTCAAGTATAACCATTTTTTTCTCTTTTAATTTGCACATGTCAGAAGGTGGCTTGTAGGCCTGTGTAGATTTTTCCTGCTCAGACAATATTTGTTATTTATCACATCTGAACAAATAAACTAAATTATAAATACTAGAAGCAAATAAATTGAAAAAAGAAAACGTGTTTGTATAGAATGGTGTATTTTATATGCTCATATGTTGTTGGAAGGCAGGAAGGGATTATTTTTATGGAGAAAAAATAAAATAAAATTCAACAACTTTAAAGCATGAAGGGGTTTAAAAATGACCAGAGTGGGACTTTAGACAAGCATAAACAAAAATAAATAAATACATACATACATACATACATAAATAAATAAAGCAAAACACAACAAACAAACAAAAACAATTTCAACTTTCATGCAATTTTATTTCAACTATTAAAGACAGGCCAAGCCTAAAAAAACAAACAAAAAACACCCAAAAAACAAACAAAAATTAAATAAATAGATAACAAAGCAAGAGACAACAAACAAACAAAAACAGTTTCAACTTTCATGTAATTTTATTTCAACTACCAAAGACAGGCCAAGCCTAAAAAACAAAACCCAAAACAAAACAAACAAACAAATAAAAAAAAACAAAATTTTAAATATATTGCTGTCACTTTGGAAAAATGCACTGTAAGACAACAACAGTAAACTGGACTTGTTTGAAATGTATACTCTGTTATATAAACATGCACCAAGGTCACTTTTGTGGAAGTTTCAGAGATTTATTTTTGAAAATAAGATGATCAAATTAAGAGAGCCTATCTAAACTTGTCTTTGTTTCTTCTTCTTCCTTTTCTTCTTCTTCTTCTTCTTCTTCTTGTTCTTCTTGTTCTTCTTGTTCTTCTTCTTCTTCTTCTTATTATTATTATTATTTTTGTTGCACATTACACAGCACCTGCTATGAGCCTTTCCACCTCGGAGACAGATTCTTTTTGCAAAGTTGGATTCGTACACAGTCACCACAGTGTGAAGGATGAATGGGCTCCTCTGATGGTTTTAGGAGCCTGTCAGAGAATGAAACGTTCTTATCAGTCAGCAAGGCCGGTGGGCTGCTCTGCCCATGCCGCCGCCTCCTCCCTCACAGACTCAAGGCTGCTCTGATGAGAGAGGCTCTTCCACAGAACCATAGGGAGGCCTTGGAGCGACAGAAACAGATTCAGAAGCTGCAGCTGTGAATATTAGCCTTTCAAACTCCCTCTCTGAAAGTCCAGCAATGCCAGCTGAAATTGATGGTACATGAATTGAAATATTGGTAGATAGTGGTGCTTTCAGCTGTATGCTCAGTTGATCACGTTTGTACCCCCATCTCCAAAGCATTTCTGGACCACCTACAGCTGAGCCTCTTTTTAAACAGACTCATTCTTTTCTGATTTCTGCAGGGACACGTTTAAGTCTCAGAACGTTGCTAAATCTTCACCAGTCTGTGCATCTTTGCTGTCTGCGATGAGGCCTGTGTAGCTGCTGCTCATCCATCCACTGGCTATCAAAATATGGCTTTACCATTTTACTTAGAATGACACGATCCACTACTTTGTGAAAATGTCTGGATTGTGCATTTTGCCAGCAAAGTTAACAAGCAAACAACTATTTCTGTACAAGGATCATGACGTACAGCCTCATATCAAGGTTGCAGTTGCAGCAGGGGCAGACGAAAAACAATTGTGCGATACGATAGAGAGGTCTCGTAATCTGTCTACGGTCCACTGATTACGACAGCAGCTGCTCTGGGAAATAATTTGTTTGCTCTGAACATCCCTGAGAATGTCATCCTGCCTGAGAGTATCTTTGTTTTACAGAAAACACCCTTTCTTGTTTTGCACGGACCCCCATTGGATCTATTGGAAGTCCCCCAGAGCGTTCATGGGCGAAACATAAGAAGCATGTCCGCCCCTCCACACGTTGTTCAGGGTAAAGCTAGTGCTAAACGTCCCATGATTAGGTAACATCAATTACCCCAAAAGGCAATTGCAGGCATAGAGGCTGTAATTCAGTCGCTCTTGGATCAAGGACTGCTGGTGGAGACAAACAGTCCCTGCAACACTTCTATTCCAAAGCCACATCGCCCAAACCAATGGAGATTTGCAGGCCGTCAATAACATTGTTGTGCCTACAGCCTCAGTTGTGCCAGACATTGATTCTATTTTGGCATCTTTGCCTTCAGATTCAAAGTATTGTTGATCTGAGCTCAGCATTTTTCTCTGTTCCTTTGCATCCAGACAGCCGGTACTTGTTTACATGTAAGTCATGCCAGGTGACGTGGACCAGGGCTTTGTTGAGGGTCTGACGGTGTGTGCTGCAGCGGTGAGACGTGATTTAGTGGTTCTGCATCTGGCTGGCGGGAGCATTCTCCTTTTCTATGCTGACGATTTGTTGGTTGCTTCTCCTTCAGAGGAGTCCTGCCATGGTGACTCTGAGAGAGGACGCTGCCCCTCTCTGGTGAAACTACAGTATTGCAGCACAAAGGTCACCTATCTGGGTTATGTGTTGAGCGAGGGTCTCTGCTGAATAACATGAAGCCTCCTAACACTAAGAAAGAGATGCTTTCTCTCCTGGGCGGGACGAGTTATTGCTGTAATGGACTCTGTGCTGAGAGCAGCTACACTACAGGAGGCTCCCCGTGGATGGAGAGCATGCATGAGGCCTTTGTGGATTTAAAGACTGCTCTTGTTTCAGCTCCGGCCCTGGGACTGCCGGACTACATGCAACCTTTTCACCTGTATGTCAGAGAGGGAGAGGGGTTTGCTTCTAGAATGCTGTTTCAGAAACATGGGTCGCACCACCTCCTGGTGGCGTAATTACTCGTCAGAGCTTTGCATGGTGGTTCATGAGATCAGTGGCTGCTGTTTCAATGATAATAGAGAAATCTGCTCCCTTGGTGTTGACTCATGATTGCTTCGTGATGCTCCATATTCAGTTTTGCAAACTCATAATGCATCTGCCACACAACACACGTTAGCCGCACGCAGATCAGGATATGAATCAATCATTTTGTGTAGCTCACACATCGAGCTCTAAAGCTGCTAATTTTCATCCTGTTTCTGAAGCAGATGACAACCACGACTGTGAGATGGTGATAAACAGCAACACACCGCCCCGATGTGACCTGATGATCTGATTCTGTACACTGATGGTTCAGCCAGCAGACCCTCTGATGTCACACACCAAGCAGGTATGCTGTAGTTAATGACTGGGAGATTGTTGAGGCTCTCCCACCTAGCAGCTGAACTGTATGTTCTTATCAGAGCCTGCATTATCTCTAAGAACAAGGTCTCTACCATCTACACAGACTCCTGCTGTGCATTTGGAGCAGCTCGTGGTTTTGCTCAAATTTAGAAACAAAGACTTTTTAACATCAAGTGGAAAGCTGCTTGAACATCCCAAAATGATAAATGAACTGATCGATGCAATTTTCTTGCCCAAACAATTGGCTGTAGTGAAGTGTGAAGCAGACACGAATGGTTCTGATCCAGTTTCTCTTGGAAATGTGCAAGCTGATGCAGCTAAACAAGCAGCTGTTTCCCTCCTCTCTGTGGTACAACAGTGTGCCTCCATGCAACCCTCTGAACCTGTTGTTCTGCCTTCTTTTGATGAACAAAACTGCACTGATGGTGAGGAGAAAAGGGTCAGTCTCCATCTTGTTTGTCGCCGATCTCTCCTCCACATTGAGTGCACGGCCCGACTCATGTAAGGAGGGATAAATGAGCTCATTCGATCACAACGGTTTGCACCTGGAATCACACAGTTTTCACAAACACTTATGATTACATGTGTGATATGTCAGCAGACCGGGCGTGCAGGAAACACCATTAATCGTGACCACCTGCCGCCGCCATTGGGCCCATTTGTAAATATGCAAGTTGATTTTGTACATATGCCGAGTTGTCAGGGTTACAAACACCTGTTAGTGATCGCTGATGTGTTTGGGGTGGGTTGAAGCACATCCAACAAGAAAGGAAGATACTAAAAGCGTTGTAAAATGTTTGTTTGGGGTACCATCAGGGATCAACAGTGACAGAGGCCCAGCTTTTGTTTCTAAGATAACTCAGACCGTAGCAGCAGTACTGGGCTGTCAGGGGAAACTACACGTCCCTTATCATCCACAGAGCTCAGGGCAGGTGGAAAGAGTAAATTTAGTTATTTATTTTTTTAGTTATTACACATTTATTTTTTGCCTTTTAGTGTTGTTCACAGAGTAGTGCAGAGAGACAGGAAAAGGGGAGAAGAATGGGGAGAGTCCTGCAGCAAAAGGCCACGAGAGGGATTTGAACTCACAACCACTGCACATCCCTTGCTCATGGAACACCATCTTATCCAGTTGAGCTACCAGGGCACCCTGGAAAGAATGAATTCCACCATCAAGGAGAAACTAACAAAAACCATGATGACAACAGGGTTAAAATGGTCCGATGCCCTCCTGTTTGTGCTGTATTCAATCTGCAGCGCTGCCAATTCCATTACAGGCCTCAGCCCACATGAAGCCCACATGAAGAATGAACACAGGAGCAAACCCACCGTTCACTCCACACAATGTCCTCCTGCTGTGGACTGATGAGCACATGACTCAACGGAGCCTCAGACAACTTAGGTTGAAATAAGGTTTACTGATCAGACATTAACAGAGCAGCAGTTCATGCACGCAATGCCAGCATCAGTTCTGAGGATTCTCTGTTGGACTTATACCCTCCCTCGGTGGGTGCCATATTTAAATTTATGGATGAGAGGAAAAACAAAGATAGTCCGGCACCTTGAGAGGTACAGGGAGGGCTTACCTGTCCTCCTACTGTAGATCTACATGAGGCCAAGAATCTATAGAAGATTTCAGATTAGTACACATCTGCTACAAATACTACTTTTACATACAGAGGTCAATCAGAGGAGCTAAGAGGAGAAGTTCAATACCATGTCTAGAAAGTTAACTCCAAGAGAGGAAAGTCATTTTTTCTTCATTTCAATTATTATGATTCTAATTATTCTCTTACAGTATTTACTGGCAGTGATGAGACTTGTTAGTGCATTACTACCACCTACTGGACTGCTTTTCCTCAGTAAGATCAGACATTTGGCACAACAGGTGTTTGAGATGTCCTAGTAGGAAACACACACGTCTATCAAGAGCTTCATCTACAAATTTCCCAACATTTCATATCATCTTCAACAGCAGTTTGTCCTCTTGTCATTAAATAGTTCAAATTTCCATTTAAAAAAAACAAACAAACTTTGAGGGCTAATTGGGTTTAAAAGTTGCTGTTCACATTTCCTTTGTGACTTTCTAAGCCAGGCTGCTGCTGGTTGGTCCAGTAGGATGCATTCTGATCCAACGTAACCCTTTTGCAAAGACCGATCAAGGGATTTTCTTGGTGTTAAGCACGTCAGGAATGTATTCTAAAGGTTGCTGTAAGTTTTTAGGTTCACTTCTTACACTGTAGGTTGACATGAGCTTCTTCCATTTGTCAGGTAATCCAGTATTTTGCTCAACCCCACAAACAGCAGAAAATGTGTATTTCAGTACTCTAGAAAACAAATTTAGAATCATAGACAGCTCCCTGGCATTAAATCATGTCCGTATTTTTAAAAAAATGAGTGAATTTTTGTGGGCGATATCAATGTTAGATGGGTACTTGGTTAAACATTTGGAATTTAATGATTAAACACACGTAAAAGTAGAAAAGCCTGCAAAACTGGAGCCACACCACACAAAACAGAAAAAAGACAGCAAAAAGCTGCCATGTAACGGATAAAGCTGACACCTAAATGAAATATAATAACAGAAATAATGTCCGACTGTGAGTTTAAGTAATAATCAGCAGTACACTTTGCAGTTAAGGTAGGTAAGGTTAGGTAACAAAGCCACAGGGTTTGGTTCCTTTAACACTTTATACTGTAATATAGCAGCATAAAACCAAACATGTTAATTGCACATATTTATTATAACAAAACATTACACAACAGTTACACATACATAAATATATATTCATAAATAGCATTTTAATATTTCGTGTACTTGTGTGGTTCAGTCTCATCTGTATTTCTCGGCGAGCACAGCTGCGAATGCTGACAGGAACTTGTCCATCGCTGCGTGTGCAGTCGGCGTGAAGTCGTCACCCATGTGACAGGCCAGAGCGACAAGCATACAGTGTGAGAACAGCTGCAGGGGGAGAAAACACGTGTTACCGGCAAAGAAATAACAATAAAAATATATGTAGGTGATTATAATTATACCCAAGCTCTCTGCAAAACATGAACCTGTTTCTATCAAGTGCATCACATCAAGATTTTGTCTCCATAAAACAAACTCGTTGGTACAGTTTGCTGTTTAAACAGGTCAGTGATTCATTCTCCTAAGCAGCTTATCGTGAAACATAGTCCAGATTTACAATAGTTAACAAGTGTCACTGTCATTTCTGTTAAACTTTGTTAAAAAAAGATATTTTCAAGAGCAGGACTAACTTATGTGGACTGACTTGCTCTGTGTGATTCTATTTATTGCAAATTGCAGCAATTTCACAATAAAAGCACGTCAGTCTCACATTCACTTCATCTCTGTTGTTAGATTTTCTAAACTTTTGGCAGTGTTTTGGTTCTCGTACATGTGTTTAAGGGAAATGTCAATCTAAAAAAGTTGTCTCTGTTTTCATTTTTCTGAATCATGTTTTGTAACCTGAACACAGGGAATAGATACCACCTGATGAAGACAGTCGACAACGGTGTTTGACCAGCAGGTTCTTTGCGAGGTCAATATAAAGCTGTAGACCATCCCTTTCATATGAGTTTGAAATAAATCCCCTCCTCATGTTGTAAAATTAGAATACTGTGGTTGAAATGCAATAGGAGTTTGTTTTATGGTATTACTGTGCATGTTGTGTACAAGAATCAATGAACTAAACCGATCTCCATGGAATATCAGTTCAACTGGTTTTGGGTTGTTTCAACAACATATTTCTCAGTTTTCTATTCCTAAATTGTGTTGATTTCTTCTTTTTAATAATGGATTTTATATAGTTTTGTTGATAAACTCTTCATATGCATTGGATTGATTTGTGGAGTGATGACAACAAAACTGATTCTGTCCAGTTAAAAGCAGTTAAAAGTTAAAGATTGTTTGCACTCTGAAACCAGTAGGTTCACCAATTTTTTCTACAACACAAAGCAGCAATATATTCACATCTAATACATTACAAAAAATGCATATATGCTTATTTAAATAATACTGACAACATGCTCAGAAAACATCATATTTTGCTTTTCATATACGGCTAAAACTACTCCCATATTTTTCCACATGTTTAAGTAAACATGTGGAAAACAACAGCATGGATACATTTTGTACATTTTTGTTAACATTTTATTCAGGACACTCACCTAAAGTCTACACATACAACAGCTCTGCAATAAATCCCACTGCAATGACAGCTCAGTTTTTATTGTAGCTGTCTTAGAAAAGTGTTGGGTCAAGTGGAGGCTGCAGTTTGTGGCTGTACTGTGTTAGACAATGAGACTTATTTGGTATTCATCCAGACCCCATTGATGTAAATGAGATTTAGAAAATAACTGAAGCATTGGTCAGAATGAAGCAGCCTTCACGGCCAGTTAGCCTACCACACAGTTTTAATATTCTGACCATCATTAAAGTACAATGTATAGCAGAGCAGCTGCATCAGTCTGTATTTGTTTTAACTACCCCAAAAAAATAAAAATCCAACTGAGTGTATATGGAGGACAAAAACGTACAAAATGTATTCATGTGGGTATATTGTGGGAACAGTTTTTGCAGTATATGTAAAATATAAAACTAATAACTGGTATTTCCTGAAGAATATGGTCAATTTGTTTTCTTTAATGCAATAGATGTAAATATACTGTATTGAAAACATATGTTGCATAAACACTGGTATTAGGGAGAAGGTTTTTGCAGCTGTAAGCCGAAGCTCCTCCTAACTTCAGCGGCGTCTAGAATAGGCACCTTGAAGTTGGTCGGATCTATCCGAAGCTGGTAGGCGTGGAAGGTTTGCAGAGGAGCCAGGGTGACGGTCAGGTGACTGATGTCTTTGGCTGCCTCCACTATGGCCAGGACGATCTTCTTCCCGTGAGAGCGCAGGTGTGGAGAGCCGGCACTGATGTCTGCGTGGGAGAAATACGTCTTGGTGCCTGGATAACAGGCGAACATCCTGTGGAAAACGGGAGCAGTTTGAGTAATTTTTTAAAGACAAAAAGAGTCAAAATTGTTATTTAAGTTTCATTATATTCTGGTTTCTTAGCTCCTCTATGGCAGCAAACTGCACATCTTTGGATTGTGGACAAGAAAAGACACTTGAGGATGTCATGTTTGGGAAGCACTGACTAACCTTTTCAAACATTTTCTGACATTCTATGGACCAAATAACTAATTGATTAAACAAGAACATAATCAAGATTAACTCTAATTTTAATGAATCTGTATTTCTGTCATAATGATGTTCATGTATGACTGAAGTACCAGAAGAACTGGTGTATATGGTCAGTTTTTGGGGGCTTTTTATGATACGATTTTACCAAAAGGAGTCTTCAATGTCAAAGTGAAAACAGATTTCTACCAAATAATATATCAATGTGATATGCGTTACGTATTCACTTCCTTTAAATTGACTCACTGAGTGCAACACAGATGTAGCTGATTGGAGCTGGAAGTCACACAATCACTAAAATAGAGATCATCTAAGAGCAGTCAATGTGTCTCAAGTGACTGTAATATAAAGACATTTGTATCTGGAAGGTCCAGTCACTGGTGAATCAGTACTCCTGACTATAACGACACCATGAAGACAAAACAACAGTCCAAGTGAAAAGGTTATAAAAAGCACAAATCAGGGGATGGATACAAGAAAATTTCCAAATCGCTCAATATCCCTTGAAGTCCCTTGGAAGGAAGTGCAAGAGAGAGATTAGTTAGAGAGGCCACCAAGACACCTGTGGCTTCTCTGAAGCAGCTACAAGCTTCAGGGGCTGAGATGGGACAGACTATAGCAACTGTTACCTGTTCTTCAGCCGTCAAAGCTTTATGGGAGAGTGGCAAAGAGAAAGCCTTCTGAAAAAAGCTCATTTTTAATCTGGACTAGAGTTCACCACAAGGCATGTTGGAGACCCTGAAGTCAACCAGAAAAGGCTTCTTTGGTCAGATGAGACCAAAGTTGAGCTTTTTAGCCATCAGACTAGACGATGTGTTTGGTGTCTGCACAACATCACAAACACACCGTCTCCATTATGAAGCATGGTGGTGGCAGCATCATCTTCTCAGCAGGCCCTGGACGGCTTGTGAAGGCAGAGCTTTAAATGAATGCAGCAAATTGTAGGGAAATCCTGTGGGACAAACTGATGCTGTCCGCAAGAGAACTACAACTCCTGTTTTCCGGGAAGATATTGACTCAAAGCATCCAGCCAAAGCTACGTAGAAGTGGATTAAAGACAACAAGGAGAATGTTGTGGAGTCAGAGCCCAAAGCTCAATCCAGCTGAGAGTTTGAGGCTGGACTTGAACACAACTGTTTGTTTACGATCTTCATGCAACTCGACAGAGCTTGAACACTTTTTCAAGAATAGCTGAGTACAATTGCAGTGTCCAGATGTGCAAGCCTGATTAAGACCTAGCCACACAGGCTCAACGCTGTATTTGCAGCAAAGGTGGATCTACTAAAAACTTAACATTTAAAGGAGGTGAATACTCGCACAGTCACTTATTTTACATTTGACATTTTTAAATAATTGACATTATTGACGATATGTTTTCACTTTGACATGAAAGAATATTTTTGGGAGGGATTCTAGTCAACAAAAAAGCCAAATTAAATGGACAATGATTCGACAATAAAAGGGAAAAACTTCCAATTAGGGTGAAAACTTTTTATAGGTACTGTAGCCTATTGTGAGAAGTGAATTAGCATTAGGTTTAATTTACTTACATGCTTTCCATTGTAGCAGTTTCTTATATAAGATTTACATGTAGTAACTCAACACTTTAATATTTGTTAGTTAATAATTCACAAATGCTTTATAACCATCAAGTCTGCACGTTTAAATGACAACAACATACTGACAAAGGGAATAAGTCCTCATCACAAATACACTGAAGCCACACAACAGAACATGGACTTACCTAAGAAGCGCATCTGACCCAATTTCTTCGGCCACAGGGGTCATTTTGTCCCATATTTCTTGAATTAGGGCTTTCTCTTTCTTCCTTAGCATCGCAGCTTATTGCACCGACCAATAGAGAATGAACTGTAGCTGAGTATCCAGAATGTTTTTTTCAGGCAACAAAAGATGTGCCTTAATCAACCATTTTATCACTTTAGTAACGCCGTTAGCCAAAAAAAAAAGAAGAATGCCAAGTAAATGAGATAAAGTAATAATTCCTGCCGTCTGTAGAAAATAGTTGTAATGGTTCCGGTGTGGGATCAGCTGTGTTGTTTCCCTCCTCGCCGTTATCTGACAGCAGCCAGGGCAGGGTGGGGGCTCCTATCTGCTGCTTTAATGCGTCATTCTGCACATTTGGGGCAGTATGGATGACCTTAAAGTGTAGTTTTGATGACCTCTTGATTACCTCTGGATTTCTTTTTACTTATGAGGACTTTTATCAGGATTTGGTGTTGAATCAATAAACAACATTTAAATAAATAAAGTCTGAAAAGTTAGAAGTTTAATCATTTTTTCATATGAGATAGATTGCTATTTCCTTTAAAGAGCTCTTTAAATCAAACATTAAAAAACACACATATGGGTAAAATGCTTCATTACATAGAGGACATAGTTGACGACATAGTGAAGACTTTAGCAGATCTCTCAGCTGTTGCTATCTGCAGCCCCACAAGCTGCTGATCAACACTGGGTGTGAAAGCAGCCTTCATCTGATACCACTGGAGGACCATTGCACCGCACAGAGGACTTTATTGTTTATGTCTTTTATGAAGGCATTTAAACTGCACCTGCAAGACAGGACATTTTAGGTATGATAGCGGCCATATAGCTGACCTATAGTTTTATAGTCAAATATCAACAACAGCATACCAATTAAATGGTAAAATGTGTTCTGATTTTTAAGTTCTACTCATTTCTGTGTGAGAAATAGTGCAACTTTTCATGCATCTGCTCATTAAGCAGGCTGTAGGGTGGACTTGTGCTCACTATTATCAGCTGAAGTAACACAGGGCCTCAGAGTCAGGCAGGCTACAGCCCAGCCTGAGGCCCTTTGTTCCAAGGTGATAATATGCTTTACAGAAGTACATATTTAGAAGTCAATATTATTTATAATGTAACAGACCAGATAAAACACCATGAACCTGACAGTTAAATTAGAGAAGTTGCTTACTTTGTCAACTTGGTGATCCTTAATGTTAGGTTTAGTTTGGACAAGTGAAAAAGAACACTTTTTTAAAAATCTTTTTTCATTTGGACTATTTGAAGATACAAACAATATTATGACAACTAAGAAACTGCAGTACTACTACTACTACTACTACTACTAATAACAATAATAAAAATAATACATTTTTATTAGTAATCATTGTAATTATGATAATAATATCCATTTTTATTCATTTTTCCTAATTAGAACCACTGTGACTATGTATATATGTATATATAGACCATCCAGCACCTTCAAATGCTGCAATTTGCACTCAACTCTTGATGTTCTTTTTTTTTTTTTTT